CACCAGCTTATTTTTCTTTTAAATACTCGTGTTAAAAAAGTGACCTAAAACAAGATGTTAAAAAAAAAAAATAAAACAAAACAAAACAAAACAAAAACCACAACAAAACAAAGCAAAACAAAAAGAAAATGAACAGAAAGCAAAAGTCCCTTTTAAAAACAAATCAAAACATTTGCAGCTTCTCGTTCTGGAAAAGAAAAAATACTGTCTAGAAACAAAACAAAAAAAAAAAAAAGAGCATTTTGAAGGTAAATGCTACTTCTCCAAGTGTAAACAATATACAAAAACGCTTCTGTTAAACAAAGTTACATAGCTGGGGAAAACATTATTAGGTGAGAAAATCACATTTAATCACTTTGAACATTAATAGGAAGGGGCAGAATTTTTGTGGGACCCCCCCCCCAGATCACCCCAAATTTAATCCCAGCAGGAGTTTAGAATAAGGAAATTTTCCCTGCTCTCAGTTTTTTGTCAGATCTGTGAGGATTTTCTGGTTTTTGATTCTTTTATTCATTATTTTGCAATTCAATAAAGGAGATTTTTTGGTTTGGTTTTTTTTTGCCATTTTCACTCCCTTTTCTCTGGGTTTGCTCTGTGGGGTTCACCCACCTCCTGCTCTCTTCCTCCCCCTTTTTTTTCTCCTCTTTATTTATTTTATTTATTTATTCTTTTTTAAACAGATGATTTCAAGAGAATAAAAATTCCAAGCTGCTTCCCCCAAAGGGAGAAGGGCAAACTTACCAGGTTAAAGTTGCAGATTCAATGCAGATTTTTTTTTTTGTTTTTGTTTTTGTTTTTTTAAAAACTGTCAGGAATAAAAAGTAATTTGTGTTCAATTCCTAATTAGCAGTAAACTTAAGTGCTTATTAAGAGAGGAAAAAACCAATATAATGCCCACAAAACGAAGCTGATGATGCCCTCTAAGTCCTTTTTAAAATATTTTTGAAGTATTTTGATTTTTTTTAAAGTATTTTTTTAGCTGCATTTGGGTTGTGGCTTTTTTCAGCTCCACACCTTAAGACAGCAAAGGGGGAACTGAAATTTGGGCCAAAAACCCTCCAAATCCCATCAGAACCCCTAATTTTTTATTTTTCCATAATTCTATTTACAGTGCACACCCTCGGGGGGGTTCAATTCCAGCCTTTCCTGAGGTGGGATTCACGTTCAGGAAGGGGATGAAAAGGAAATAAAATTAAAAAAAAAAAATTTAAAATCCCATTCAGAATCCAGCCCAAAGGCAGGGTTAATTTAGGGGAAATAAGCACCAAATTATGGCTGAAAAAAAGGACCAAAAAAAAATTCCACACAGCAAAAAAAAGTGTCACAGCACGGGACTGACATTCCCAAAAAAAAGGCAAGTGTGAAAAACAGTTCCAAGGCAGATGAAGCAACTGCAGAGAGGTTTGTTCAAAACTCTTAAATCCTGCTTAGAAAGAGAAATGAAAATAAAATAAAAAAAAAAAAACCAAACAAAACCCACGGCGAGGCTGCCCAGCTTGGCTGTGAAAGGGTTAAAGGAGAAAAAATAATAATAATTTTAAAAAAATGAGATTTCAGTCATTTCAAGCAGTCCTAAAATCCTTCAGGGGGGGCTGGAAATGAAATTTGGGTGGAAATTTTGGAATTTTCTCTCCTGGGGGGTTGAGCTCAGCTCTCAGCGCTCCCCCCCGGCAGCCAGGCTGTGCAAAATCACATTTAAAAAAAAAAATAAAACACCAAAAAAACCCAACCCAGCGAGCTCTGTCAGTAGCTGCTGCAGGAAGACTGGGTGGTTAATTAATTACCTAATTAACACTGGCAGGATGGTGGTGGTGACCTCAGAGCCACTCCTGCATGAGGAAGTGGCTCAAAATCTGATCTACAGGTACAAAAATGCCTTTTTTTTTTTTATTTTTAATTTTTTTTTAACTTTTTAGGAAATTTTCAGGGCTGGCCAAGTGAAATCAGCCCAGCTCTGAGCACATCAGGAGCTGAACCTCTCTCATTTCTCTGCTTGTTTTTAGTTTTTAAGAGTTCCACCTTTTGAATTTTTTTTTCAGAGATCATCTTTGGTAGATGTTCATTTCCCTCATCTTTCTTGTAAATCGAGTGCAGTTACAAAAAAAATGGTTTGTGTTATTTTTTCTTTCCCCGTTCCTTAAATTAACAACAACAACAAAAAAATTAATATAAAGTGTCCCAGTCTGAATTTACCTAAAATTCAGCAACTCCTCCTTTTTTTACCAGAGTTCTGTTTGCCCATCCTTGAAATGCTGAGCTGGTTTCCTTCCAATTCCTAGCGAGAGGGAAATAAAAAAAGGGGATTTTTGTGTGGGGGGAGGGTGGTTTTTTTTTTTTGTGGTTTTTCTTTCTTTTTTTTTTTTTCTGGACGAATCCAGTCCGATAAAACCAAAACCAACAACAACAACAACACAAAAAAACCCCAAAAAACGAGGAGTGGTTGGCGAGTCAGGCACTGCTCCGGCGTCACCCTCGGCGACGGCGTCACCCTTCTGGGGGTGGCGTCGCTGTTTTTGGGGGGGCAGTGCTGGAGTTTTTGGGGTGGTGTCACCTTTTGGGGACAGTGCCAGAGTTTTTTGGGGGTGGTGTCACCTTTTGGGGACAGTGCCAGAGTTTTTGGGGTGGTGTCCCCCGGGCTGGAAGGAGGCGCTCGGCTCGTTTGGAAAAAGCCCTCGGAGATTCGGGCGCCGGTGCCACGGCGAGGATGGGTTTGGCACCAGGTGCCACTGCTGCTGCTGCTGCTGCAGCGGTGCAGTCCAGCCATGCAGCCACGCAGCCGTGCAGCCCCTGCAGCCCTGCAGCTCCTCCCTATGCCAGGATGCTGGAGATGAACTCGTTGAAACGCTTCGAGTACTGCTCGGGGTTCACCGTGGAGATCTCGGCCCCGGCCTGGGGGGAG